AAGAAAGAGTAGAACTCCTTGAATACCTGTCTCCTTCCCACCCCCTGAATCTTGGGTACTGCTGTCTAGTCTGTCTTCCTTTGATATCAGGTTAGACCATTTCATTAGTCCAGTTCTTTAAACCAGGAACTACTCTGTTTCCGAAAGAGCCCTGGGGCAGTGGAAGGAGGCACACAGGGCAGATTGGTGCTCAAGTCACAGCTAGAGGAGGCCTAGGTTGAGCTAGAAAGTTGGTTGGGTTTCTATATGAAATGACCAAATGGTGGCTTTGGATGGACACCGGGGTCAGGATTAGGTCATACGAGAAAAAATATGCGTTGAGGATGGAAGAAGTGATGAAGAGGAAGAGTTAGGATGGTGTGGAGATGGGATTCGGTTACAGTCAGGAAAGTGAGAGAGAAGAGATCAGCCACAAACAGAAGCTGCTGCACTGTGGCTGCCACTGTGTTCTGAATTCAAAACCAGGAATATTTGTAACAATGCAACTGACCTGACTTTCCTTAGAGGAATTTTAAAAGCAGTTTTTGTGTTTTTTTTAAAGACTCATGAAGGTTTTATATCAGAATTAGCTATGACTTGGCTCGTAATGAGGCGAAGTTAATTAGTTCTTTCCTTATGTCCCAGGCTTGGCTAGCCCAAACCTGACTAACCTAGGGCCAGGACATGGCCAAAAATAATGACCCTAGCACTGGCTACTTTTCTCAACAAGACTCCGTTCAAAGTTACTTCAAAGCACTTGTTCTTTTTTGGTAGAGGGTCGGTTATGTCACGCTCTCTTAGAAAATGCACTACTTTACTGGGGGATTTACTTTGAGTTGGTGTGTTAGCATCACAGGATTTGATTTTTAAATGCTGAATACTTAAAAATACATGTTTTACTTCTTCTGTTTGAGATGAGGCTTTTAAGGAGTCATAGGCACCACAATAAAAGCTAACGTGGTTTCCACGGTCATTAAAAAAGGTATTTGCGTGAAGTGCTGCTTTTTCTTAAGGAGCACTTGAGTACAGCATCGCTCAGCAACACATAAATCAACTTTGACACCTTATCATCTGTATATTCAGGTTTAAATGAAGTCTTTCCAGTGATGGGACAGATTGAGTCTTTTAAACTGAACAAGTGAAAGGTGTCATGTTGTCATCTTCATCTTTAGGTTGGCAGCAAGCTTATAACATTTTGGAATTAGAATTTTTTTCAATTTGTCCTCTTGGGCCTCCAGCTTCTCAGCTTCTGTTCCCTCTTCATGTTTTTTATACCTAAATATCCTTACAGGGTCTTCTCTTCAGTTCTGAGATCTAAGGTAAGCCCCTTAGCATGGTGCGCAGAGCTTGCCAGGAGCTGCTTCCCTTCTCCTCTTCTCTGAAGCAGAAGGGCTTCAGCCAAGCCAAACAACAGTTTTCCATACATGTTGCGTTCTTTGATATCACTGTTTCTTCAAGCCCACATTGTTTTTTTTTGTTGGGGAATACTCTTGCTGACTAAGCCCTGCTCATCTTTCTAGATAATGTCTGGATTCTCAGACAACTTCAGTCTGATTCTTTCAGTTTGAGTTAAGGGCCCCTTCTCCTAGGCTCCTAAGCAAATCTTGGTCATAGGGCTTTAATATTGGATTTCAGTTGTTTACTTTTCTCATACTAACCTCAGAATTTCTTTTTTTTTAATTTATTTTTATTTTATTTATTTATTTTTTATTCATTTATTTATTTTTGGCTGCATTGGGTCTTCGTTTCTGCTCGTGGGCTTTCTCTAGTTGCAGCGAGTGGGGGCTGCTCTTCATTGCGGTGCGTGGGCTTCTCATTGTGGTGGCTTCTCTTGTTGCAGAGCACAGGCCCTAGGCACATGGGCTTCAGTAGTTGTGGCTCGTGGGCTCTAGAGCACAGGCTCAGTAGTTGTGGTGCACAGGCTTAGTTGCTCCACGGCATGTGGAACCTTCCTGGACCAGGGATCGAACCTGTGTCCCCTGCACTGGCAGGTGGATTCTTAACCACTGTGCCACCAGGGAAGTCCTGGGAATTTCTTGAGGGACAGGAATTCTGTCTTATCTGTTTATCCCTGTCCTTTCTGGGTGTTCCATGTAGCTGATTTTTTCATTATCTGTGACAGGGCTGAGTTTTCTTTCCTTGTGAAGAAGTAGTTCTTTATTACTGGGGGGTTTTGACCAGAGGCCCAAGACCTCTATTATTTATAAATTTAACAGTTGTTTTTTTGAAGTATCCATACTGTGCCAAGGGCTGTGCTTTTGTTTACTACTACTGGAGGGATATAGATTCAAGCATCATATAAAAGGTTATGCTAGATGTAACAGTAAGTGAAAAAAGTTTGGAGGAGCAAAAAATTAAAGCAAGAATTTTTGAAGATACAAAGTATCAGGAAGGCTATTGCATGGTTTTGTGAAGATTTCCACAAGGGGAGAAAAAGTTAAGAAGAGTTCGTTTTGAATACATATTTTTACAACTGGTATAGAAAAATTACCTCATCAATTTATGTATCCTAAGCTCAGGAAACACTCCTCAGTAGTTTGCTTCCAAGAAGCAAAAAAAATCTGCCATGATAGAAGGTAGATACTGCCATACTCCTTAGTGAATTGGTGTGTGTGGATTTCTGGAATTTTAATTTTATTCATATATTTAAAAAATTCACCAAATTTTTATTTTAAAATTTAATGTATTTAGAAACATTCTTTAATCTAGTTTCAATTTTAAAACAATGTTAGGAATGAAAAGTCAGTCTTGTATGTGGACAGCGTTTTATATCTATAGTGGCTATCTATATCTGTATCATATCTATCTCTACATCTATATCTATATATCTGTATCCATACAGGCTGTCTCAGAAATTATATCTAAAGGTATTTCGTTTTCTCTTTTGCTTTATTTGGAAAATATTGAAAAATGAGCAAAAAGTAAAAGAAAAACAAAATTTCTTATTTGAAAGTAGGGTAGGATATTATATTTAAAATAAAGAAAACCCCTCAACCATTCATTTCTACCCTATGCTGTTAACATTTGGGCACTTCTTCTCCTGACTTCTGAAGATGCTCTTGTTAACACAGTGTAGTCATGTGCTGCATGCTATCTTTTATGATAGCAACTTTAAAGGTTCCTTTTCAGAATTACTCTATCTTTGTTCTGCTTTGAGCTATATTTGTATTTATTTATTTTCAGATCATTTATTTTTTACAAAAGCAAACAAAGCACATTGTTTTTAAAAAGAGTAAAAAAGTGTAGACATTATGTAGTAGAAAGCAAAATTTTCCTTTGTCACTGTTCTTCAGGGTAACTCATTAATATTTTGGCATATAATCTTCTAAATAACTGTGAACTGTGAATTGTAACCTTTTTCCCTTTTGTTTTTGTTTTTTAATAACAGGGTCACACTTTCCACACTCTGTCACTTATATTATTCATTCACTAATGCTTTATTTCATAGCTACTCTTCCCTGTCACCACATGTGAGTCCATCCCAGGCTTTCTACTGACTACATAATATTTCACGGAATAGATCTACTGTAATTTAATAAGCTGTTGTCCATTAGGGTGTCTCCATTATTTTGCTATTAGAAATAACATTGTAACAAGTGTTTGTATCTTGTACACAAGCGTGTATTTCTGTAGTGTAATACCTAGATATGGATTTGCTTGGTTGGAGGGATTGCATATGTAAAGTTTTGCTGTAATTTAAAGGATAAACTCTTCTTCAAGACTTTCAACAATTTTTAACTGTAAACAATAAAGTTCTGATTTGAGAATAAACATGGTTTAAAAGGAAAGACGGATTCCTGTTTAAAAGGAAAGATGGATTCCTTTCCTGAGGGCTCAATGAGACAGTACATTTCAGGGAGGGTTATTTGTTTTTCTCCTCATGTTTTAACCTGGATTTTCTGTGATATGTAGAACCTTTGAGAGAAAGTATTACTCGGTCTCCCTGCTGCTTTACAAAAGAAATCTATGTTCTTATTGGTGGCATCTCCCTGATAATGCTATTATTTCATTGCATGTTGGTATTCCTTGTGATGAACAATACTGTTTTTGGTTGAATTCTAATCTGTACAGTATGGTATAGTACAGAACAAAAACTGTTCTGTGGGGTAATTTATCTTAAAAGAAATACATGAAGGTGACTCGATCAATAAAAATAGTAGCCCCAGATTGTCATTTTACTTACACATTTAAGTTCTTTTCTTATAACCTTGAAAACAGTTGTAAATATGTCTTGTTTGAATAAAGGAAAGCTTATAGATGAACGTCAAATACATTTTCTTTTTCCAAAAGGATCATCTAATTGAGGCTATAAACCTTATTTTTAGGTTATAAGAGTGGGTTTGTAAAGTTATATGTTCATGGCTTTTCATGATACCACATACAATTAGGTGTTTGGTACTTTTTTAAGGTACTATCTCCATCTAACTTAAGTTTATTCACCACATCTTTGAGTCCATTTCACTCCAGCTATTTTTACAGATGTATCAAATTGCTATTTGAGAACTATATTACAGATTTCAAATTCATGTTTAAAAGACAAATTGGCTCACTGTCTTTATGGCTGTGGAATTTGTCTTAAACACTGGGAACCTTAATAGTCAACCCATGTAGGGCTATATAGACATATATTGGAAGAAGGGTTTTGTATTTAATATATAACTTTATTTTTTGAATTTTATTTTATTTTCTTATACAGCAGGTTCTTATTAGTTATCCATTTTATAATCCCAATCGCCCAATTCAGCACACCACCATCCCCACCCCCCTGCGGCTTTCCCCCCTTGGTTGTTCTCTGCATCTGTGTCTCAAATTTCTGCCCTGCAAACCAGTTCATCTGTACAACTTTAAATAATTTATTTTGGCATTCAGAAAATGACTTTATTTTTCTTTAAGACTTCATAATTTTTCTAGTCTGATCTGCAAATGTCTATCTGCTAATCTTTTTGTCTATAAGATATACTTTTGAGGAGGTGATACTCATTTATTTCAAAGATTATTTTGTTTTTTTCTCTTTTTTACAGGAAACAGGCATCGTTGTGGGTCCAAGGAGACATTTTCCGATCCAAACTGAAAAATAGACCATCCAGTGAAGGAAGTATTAATAAAATTCTTTCTAGCTTGGATGATATGTCTATTGGTGGAAACTTATCTAAAATACAAAACGTGGAGAGATTTGGAGAGGTGAGTTTTTTCCAGGAAGATTTTCGTGTCTCCTTAAGACTAACGTTCTGCATTTCTTTGTTTCCCAATTGAACACATATAACATAGCCACATCTCTTGTCTGAATGCTGCAGTACTAAATTTTTAGGCATGGAGTCAACACCTATAAAGTAATAATAAAAGCAAAGAAAGCAATTATCCTTAAAAAGAAAAAAGCTGTAATTTAAGGAGTACAATTATAAAGGAGTCTACTCTGGTTTGGAAAATACTTACAAAAAAGAAATAGAAAAGCAAACTTTCTCTTTTAAAATGGAAATAGATATCAACAAGAAAAATCTTAATGGGACAGTTGGATATTATATACCACAAGTGGTACATTGAAGCCTCAAATTCATGATTTCTAAAGTAGGTCCAGAGTTGAAAACATAATCAGGGGCAACTTTTTTTTTCTTTTAAATTGAGACTCCATTATAAACAAACCACTTTAAACAATTGACATACATCGTCTGATTTAATCTCCATAACTACCTGGTGAGTTAGTCAATATTATCTCTATTTTATAATAAGGAAATTGAATATTAGAGAAGTTCTCAGTGTCAGAAACATGATTCAGTCCAGGTCTATCTGATTTCAAACCCATATTTTTTTCTATTATACTTGCTACCTCAATAAAAATGACAGTGATTCACTAAGAATTAAGATCATGGGCATTTTTGGAGGTAGAAGCAACCTTGAAATAATTTGTTCTAGTTTCCTCTCTTATGTGGATCAGAAACCCGGGTCGCACAAAATTTTTTACTTGCCCAAGTTTGCAGTGTTTTCAAGTAGTGGGGCCACCTTAAGAGCTGGTAGTCTGACTCCTAGTTTAGCTCTGTCTACCACAATATGCCTGAGGTGAAGCTAAGCACCTAGTTTATATTTATATTTTTATGTCACTAAAGGGGCAAAAAAGCTATTAAAATATTTAAGTAGCAAGTGTAGGTTTACATTCAATTAGGCAGTGACCCATTAGACATGGACAAGGACCTTGAACAAGCTTAGCCCTCAGGGATGGAAAGAATGCATCATAGCTCTGTTAGGTCAACAATTGGCATCCCAAACAGATTTTTTTTCACCAGGAAAGATAACAAGAGTGCTCGGAGATAGGGAGTGTTTTCTTCAAGAGGAAGGATGGGGACTGCTGGAGGAACTGAGTTTTCAACCCTGTGGTATGTTCTCCAGGACAGCCACTGATGAAGTGGCTAAGTTTACTGGTTTGAGTCATCTGTCCTGACCAAGCATAAATCTTATTAGCCAAGGTCGTGTTGATGTTCAGAGCCCTTGTAGACCTTTTCTTGTCTCTGTGTTATGGTTTGGCCTTTTCAAAGCAAACAAAAAGGATCTGGACTGACATTTTAATGAGATAATGTAGCTAAACAAGAACACTTTGTTGCTCTGGTCAGCATTTCCTCCCCAGGTTTGAGTTCAAGTAAATAAGGCTTTTGAGTTATGACCTCTGAAGAGGCACATATGAAACCCATCCATCTATCTGAGAAATATATTTATCTTGCAGGAACATAATGCTTTTTATATCATAATCTGTATTAAATTAACATCTGGTAGTTAGAACATTTCATTCTCATACTTTTTTAGATCCCAGTTTGTTGAACTTGAGACTGATTAACATTTATTTATCACTGGAAGGGTGATGAATGCAATATGATTGAAATTTAAAATAAGTCAGTTTGAAATATGAGCATATATTCAGATGTTGGCTGTTTTACCTCGTTCCTATTTCCCACCCCCCAAATTAATTACTTAGCTCTCATTCAGAAGTGCTATTATTTTTGAAATTAGAGGACAGAAATGAAAGAGTTCAGAAATACTAGAGAACGATGGTGTGGTTAAGATTGTAGACAGTGACATACCTATGGGTTTTGGACGACTTTATAGTTAGGTGATGCTTTGTGCAAGTACCTCTTCTGATTCTGACCTTTTTATTGCTATGCTTATCTGGTGCTGTCTCCATGAATATGGGGAGTTAGTTTACTCAAGCGAGTGTAACAGAGTTAGTGATTCCTTTATCATTCTTGTGAATTCCAGTTGGGAAAATACGTCAAGAATGCTGCAAGGGTTTTAATGTTTCAAGTTCTATACCAATGTTCAGGATAGAAGCCCATGGAAATCCTGGATTTATTTAGTTTATATACAGAGAAAGTACAAAAAGCCAGTGTTCTTCTAGAGGTAGTTTTTTTTTTTTAAGTCAAAAGCAGAGATAGCAAATTATTTTTTGATTTCTATGCCTATAGGAATTTTCCTGTGATTGGTTATTAGGAAGCTTGGGAAGCTCCGTAGTTACCTGATTTGGGGAGCTTGAATGTATAGTTTTTCAGTGCTTACGGGGTGAGTAAAAGGAAAATAATCAAAAGTATGAACCAGAATGATTCAGGCCATAGTAATGGAGTAGGTTGTGGCTTTAATGAATTCTCTTCGCCCACTTAGAGTTATGAGAAATCTTTTAAAAACAGAGGCTTTTCCTTTATTGAACCTGGTCTTCAGTGCTGGGCTAGGAACTATGAAATGTACACAGCCCATCCTGTGGGTCTGGAGGGGGCTCCCTGCTTCACGGCCCTGCCTTGCACTGTCCTTTTCCTCCATGGTCCTTACCTCGCCTTCCTTGCTGGGCAATACGCTTTGTAAGGATGGAGGCTTCTATCTGCCCTCATCATAAGTCTATTCCTAGCCCACAGGGCCTTCGTAAATATTACCTGAATGAGTGAAGGCTGACAGTTTCACAGAAAACAAACAAGAATACAGACATGAAACTGGTAATAATCCAAGCGATCCAAGGGTAGCACATGCTCAAATATAAAATAGTACCAGCAATAAGTGCTCATTTTGACATTGAGTGGCCTTAGGATCCATTCTGTATTGGGGTTATTAAAAAATGGCTTTAAATGGAATCTAATGCACTTTATTTAAAGTGCCAGATGTATAAGGAGTTAAATGAGGAGCTTACGGGGCAACAACAACCACCTAAATGGCACCTACTATGTGCCCGGCACTGTCCTAAGCACTTTATTACATGGATTAATTTTAGGCCCTAGAAGAGCTGTATGAAATAGGCACCTTTACAAGGTCCATTTCACAGATGACATAACTGAGGTAGAGGAAGTTAAGCTGCCTGCCCAAGATCACAAAGTACAGAGTGGAGTTGTCATTTGAACCCAGGCACTCTGGCTCCGGAGTTGGCCTCTGACCCTGAGGCCTCTCACTGTACTATGCTGCCTCTCCACTGGGTCCTCTCTGTGGCTCTAGTACATTGCATTCAGTCATTTTGGACATAACCTTAGCCAACGTGTCCTCATAAATTTCTCCTGGAACTGCAATTGCTTTTATCTTTTTCCTACTCTAGGGTGATAGTCCAGTATTAGCACACCAGTCAGTGTGTACTCTTGAGTTAGAGATATTAATTAGATACAGGTGCTGCTGACGTTTAGCCATGAGTTACCATGATTTATAAAATCCTTTGCCCATGAGCAGGGTACATCTTTAAAAAAATCTATGAAGTAAAAATTAAATCTCTAAGGCCCTACTTTTAAGCACCTTTCTTTCCACTCTTAGGCCCACTGAGGCATTCCAGGTCCAATCTGAAAGCCGCAGGGATCCACCAGAGGCTATCAGTAAGGGGAGTGACAGTACACAGATTCACCCTTTGAGGGGCTCACCCTGGCTGTGCTGTGGAAGGGGTGCTGGTGTCTGTGTGTGGCCCGGGGTTGGAAGGCCAGGGAGTTGGTCATGAGGCAGTGGTCCAGGTGACGAGGTCTGAACCAGTGGCAGGGAAAAGGAAGAGGAGACGAATTTGGGGAGCTCTGGTAAATCCAAACTTTTTATTGATCAGAAACAATTTATGAAGGTGACCTCTTTGCCTTTCTCCAACTTTTACATCTCATAGGTTTAACATCTGAGAGATGAAAAGAATTTTAGAGATGACCCAGTCATTTTTCCTTGCCAAATCATTTAAATCTGCTAAAAATTCCATTTTTGTCTTTTTCTTTCAGTCCTTAGACTTCTATTTTTACTTGTTTCTATTTCAAACTCTCCTTTTATGTCATTTTTCTATTATAACTCTTCCATCTTTATTCCATAGTGTGCTATATTTCATCTAAAATATCTTTTCTTAATGGCATACACAATGGCCTCCCTAGTAGTTTTCTCTGTTACCATTTTATTAATGGTAACATTAGTAAATAAATTTATTAATGCGTTGGTCAGTAATTTATCCAACTGAAATCTGTGGGCACAATTTAATTTATTTGATTTTGGTTTTCATCTTGTCTGCATATAGAGAACAACTGGTGGAATAAAATACATCTTCATATTTTATGCTATTTGTTCTTTAGCTAGACCATCACCTATAAATAACAATATCTTTAAAAATTCTCCTTCTTTATGTGTTTTAGTTGGCTCTATTTTCCTGTCTTTATGTAGGGCAGGCTTGTATCCAGAAGAAAACGCACTGATGCTCAGACCCTCCAGAGGGCGACAGGGTGTCTGAGAACAGACCCCCGTCCTTGGGGGAGCCAAGATATCAGGGGTCTTCCCTGAACTAGGCTTCTTCACCATTGCCAGCAATCGTGTGGCTTTGTTTCAGGGGATCTGCTGCTTCCAGAGTAGCTGAGAGCAAGAGGGGGGCTACGCTGGGACTCTGGGGAAAGGGGCTGGAGCCCAAGAGCACACGGAGGCCTGGGTTAAATTCTCGGCATTTATCGTTTGTGACTTTGTTCATCGTTAGTCATCATGAGGAATGAATTTGGTATAAAGAATGCGGTATAACAGTACCTGATGAGAAACATCTTCAAACTGCCCTCGGTCCCCCAGTTCTTGGGATTGATTTATGCCTCATGACAAATGGAACTCTATTTTCTAATATACTTTTCCCCATGCAGGCACTTGTGACCTAGTATATATTATAAGTGCCCTAATAAATACAGGGGTTGGTTATATTCCTGTCTGCGTGACTTATTCAGGATTCCAGGAGA